TTCGCCCGCGACACTGGAAACCAGTTGCCATTTACCCCTAGCCTTCCAAAAACCCATCTCGGAATGATTGCACCACGGGGTCGTTGCAACTAGGTAGAATACACAACAGTAGAAACTTTGCCGTTGCATGCTGCTCACCATTCCTCAAAAGCTCCGCACCTAAAAAAGATATAACCCCCCCCCCCCCCCCCGAACAGACCCCAGGACGTTGGCAAGTCCAACAACCGCGCTCCAATGACGTTTTCCAAAGAAAGCGGTCGCAGCCTTGCGCCCTGCAGCCTGATCGATAATAGCCAAGTATGGAACGATTTACTGCCGGCCTGGTTATCCTTTTTTCATTTAGCTCTGCATTTTTGTATTTTCCATGTTTCGCTTTGTTGTGTCGTGCATGTTTTAAACGAAAATAATTGTCCCCGTCAACCAATGCATTGATGCACATCTGTCGGCCGATATGCTAGTCTCCCCCGTCGAGGGGACGGTCGCCCTTAGGGAACGTGGACACCCCAGGGGACGCCATCGTTAGAGCGGTCCGTATGCTATACTCGGGGCGAGTCCCCGAAGCTGCGCTTAGAGTACGGGCAGAGTGGGTTTTGCGCAAAATTCAGGGGCGAAGGCGTCTGCCGTACATTCCAGCCTCGGGCTTGGCGCTTTGGACATTTCGCGGAATCTTCAGAGGCTAACTGATGATCTATAATTGCAAGCATGGATGCCACTGTTTGATCATAGAGCTATTTTCAGGGCGAATGTGCCTGACTCTAATCTGATGTCCTATCATAGGGGGACACACACTAATTTTGTTCAAAGGTTACTATGATATCGCGAGTTCAATAATATTTCTTCAGTCTAATATCTTCGAAAAGTACAGGAAAACTCGTAGATTGAAGGGTGGCTGAATCGTGTCCCACGCGTAAGAAGCGACATATGCTTAGTCACGTATATCTTAGTGGCCCTGTCTCTATCACTATGTTCTCCGCTCTCCGAACGCGCACATTTTCAGTATGGGCAATGCAACAACATATTACATACATAAAAATGAATTTCACCTCGTGACTGAGGTGATCCTATTTTTCTCATGGTTTTAACTGTACACTAGTGTTGTTTTTCAAAGCTGCTTAGCGCTAGCTACCGCGATGAAGCATCTTTAGAGAAAATTTAGAGGAGCTCGGAGAAAGTAGTGCGACACACGATCCAAGTTAAGGGCATCCTTTATGGTTAGTATAGATCTCGCTAAGTTTTGAGTTCTTTCCTCAATTGAAAAGCGTTAGAATGCGCGCGCAGTTTTCTTCTTTCAAAGAGCGACCTCTGCATGGTTTGGGCAGCAACCGTTGTGAACTCATACATATACGGTCTACATTATTATTGTTATAATGCAATCATATATATTTTATATTAGAATTGAATATGTTTTATTAAGATTGAAAAGAGAACGTTCACGTTGGCTAAAAAGCTATAATAAATCCTAAGAATGAAGAAATGATCAGTTTGAAAGTGTAAAAACTCCAGTCAGACTAAAACATTAGAATAGCTCTCCAAACACTGTGTAAAAGTAATGAGATGAAAAAAACCGGTAGAGTGGTTAGGAATGTTTCTGTATTATGAAAAAATAAAGAAAAGTTCAAAACAAATGCGAAATAAACTAAAGAAACTGTTCCAGGGGATGTCTTCCCCAACACTTGTTGTTGGGGGAGCTCTCCCCCTGATTTGGTAGGCGTGGCGTCTCCCCCAAAGCCTTCGGGGGAAGTGTAGCATACGGGGAAGGGGACCTCTCCCCTCGAGGGAGAGTATAGCATACGGCCCCAGGGCCCTGACACGCTCACCTTGGGGCTATTTTTTTCACCAATTCAGCCTATCAATGATCACCATTAGCCGCTATTTCAATTGTGTTTCTTTTACAAGTTGCATGTCATACATAGTTATCGAACGAGGAGTTTTATTTTGAATCCTAAGACAAAATTGTAGGTAATGCGAGGCTGTTGTTCAGCCTCATATTGCATGAGGCTGAAACAGCCTTTTATTTCCTGTATTTTAGAGCAGAGTGCGCCTTTCGAGAATCCAGATTCCATTTCAGGAAGTCATTTGTGGTGAACATGCATCTGGTTGTCAGTTAGAGCAGGAGGGGGGGAAGTCGTATCTGGACCCTCTTCGAGGGGGGGGGTCGTACCCACACCGCCATTTGACACATCCCATGCTGTACCTGCTCTCCCCGTCCCCCTGTCACATGAGATGGTCCGGGCTGCCATTAATCTCGGCTCTCCAGCGTCCTACTAAAAACTGCGCCGTGCATTTACTCACAAGTCGTCTCTACCGTGTCGTAATCAAGACCCAAAGTTCTGGCCTGGTCATTTTCATTAATTTATTGGCAGTAAACATATTATTAAAATTCATAATTGCTATTTGGGTGGCCGCTTTGACCTGTCGAGGCAGGATGAAAGACAAATCTTGGTACCACCACAATAATCAACACTGACTGCATCGCAAGTTGAACTAATTATTCTTGAAGCTAGTTGGGTTAGTGTCCCTGTTATCTCCATCATCCTTTTCACGAGCTCTTGTGGTCCAGTAGACCGTGATCAAGCGCAAGGCACATCATCCCGAATTAAGAGCTCTTTTGAAGGGGGTTGACGGTCACAAGAGCTTTTCTGATGTTCTGTAGCGCACAACATTGGTGAGGAATCACTTAGGGTGCGAGCTATCATCACAAAACAGCGTGGCGTGCATGAATTAGTATCCAAAACGTATGAAATGACGTGTTCGCTGACGCTTTCACTTGTGATATTCTATGGCAAATGTGGAACGACACAGATCTTCGATCACTGACGGAATTTGAGATTCAATGACCGCTTCACTATTTCCTGTGCCGAGAAACTTGGCACAGCTTCCTTCTCCGCCAGCCGCATGAAATGAAGCGAACGCATGCTCATCGTATCTGATAGAATCTAGAAAAAAGATAAGGCCGACAGCCTCAATGAAAAAATACTTCTGCAGAGCAAACGCTTTTTATTTACAATCTTATGATACATTCAAGTCAACAAGACCTCCAACAACGACTGCTTAAAGATACTGTGTACGCTTACCTTCAAGTATCCTGCTCATAGCCAAACACGCCGCTTCTTTGCGATAAGTTGCTTCCTACCTCTAACTGCTCATTTTCAACAGTGTTGAAACAAATTCTCAAAGAGCAATCATCCATCACATCTTTCCGGCTTCACTACGCACTTCTGAGTGATAAAGTGACACATTTCTGCAGCTGCGGACCTGGACACTCGCACATGGTAAAGATCCATCTTGCAGGTAAGCGCTAGGTAATGTCAGCATACTCATAGCAGGGTGGCTTGTTACAACTCCAATTAAGTTAAAAATTACAGCCTTGAGCATGCGCGAATTTAGTAATGATGTTCCAACAGTTCGAATTTATACTCTAAAACGAGAAAAATATACCCGCTAAAATGTAGACTGCATTAAATGCATTATACAAGATCAAAACAAAGTAGCCGCGTTCTCTCCACTGGTCCCAGAAAACGACTGATTCGAGTACGGCCGGGAAGATGAAAAGCCAGCAGCATCCCTGTGGTGACGCCGATGATTGGGATAATTTCTGCGAGATTCGGAATGCTGCATGCCAGAAGGACTAAAATGTACACAAGCTAAAATCATACGCGAAAGGAATAGGAAAGATGTCTACAAACAAATACAAGACCCTAAGTTTTTCTGTCTTGCATTATTGATCCAGGTAAGAGGCACGTATAGACATCCTATAAAAAAAAACTTGTTTGCGGACGAGCAAAAGAAATTTCAATTTGCGGGCTGCTTACATATTAATATTCTTGGTGTTTGTCTGACAGGTGGTCCAACAGAGGAAGCCTTGGGCGTTTCAAAATTCGCGAATGGTCCTTCACTGTTCCACTTTCCGGTAAGTAATGGAACAGCTTCAGATGCGGTGCGTGTGGCTGTTGGTGCGCAGTCATCGACGAAGTGAATTTCAGCTTTAATGGTTGTTCGGTGAAGTTTGTCGCTCGAACCGTATCGGCAACTCGCATGCTCAGCTATTACTAAGTTCTGATTGAAAATCGTCAAAGACAGCTCCCGCGACAAAAGTCATGGATAGTTGATGTTTAATTATGAAACAGTAGCTGATAACTAATTCCCCAGAAAAGAAAAAAAAAAGCAAGAAGAGGTCCGTCAGAACTCCCATATAAATCGAGAAATTCACCCCCTGGATTACACCTCGCCTGCGGTTCGTATGCAACTACTGGGCTCAAATAATCACTTTTCTTCACCAGTCTCCCAGCATGGAATCACGAATGCTGAAGAAAAGAATACAAAAAACAACAAAAAACAGAGAAGGAAAAAATCTGAGAAGAAAAAGAAACGTTGAAAAGCCGGTGTCGCGAATCTTTAGGGTTACGTAGCGTGATTATTTATTGTTAGTGAACTTGTAGTCGAGCTTTTGGCACCACGGAAAATTGCTCGCTCGCTGAACTTCTACCGCGTTTATCTTTTGGAGATGGTGGAGTTGACAAATTTGCTCCTGCAATCATAAAATTGCTAATAAAAGGAGCAGAATCATGTCATGTGGCATGAGCGCTGCAAAAAAGGACATGCAGTTCTATTGATGCTCCCCCGCCCCAACAAGAACAACTGGCTGCCCTCCGTCAGAGGGATCTAGTCAATGGGCGGTCAATCTGGCGCGTGGCCAATTAGAACTAGAACTTTCAGCGGGCGTGTAGCTTCGCCTTGCTCCAAGCTCTGTTGGAAGTTCGTGGGAGTGGATATGTCTAGCTTGGGGGCTGTACTATTACACAAGCAGGACGACCACTGTACTACTCGAGCTTGGGGGCCTGTCTTCAACGTCCTTCTCGAAGGTGTAAGACCATTCCTAGGGAGGATTAGATGCTGGACTATGATGGCCACTTCATCGACCTATGTGACATCAAAAGGCAGTGCGGCCGGGCACCTGTGAGTCAACATTCATTTCTTGAGTGTACTTCATGTATATTTTATCATGTATGAAGTATGACGGTAGCGTAGCGAGTTGTGTAGTTTGCTATCAATGAGATACACTTGGGCATTGTACTGAGACGGCGTTGCATCAGTGGCCAGATCGTTTGGAAAATAGGATAGTGCTGGATCAAATAGCCACAGTAAGTCATCAGGAGTAGCATCACCTTGACTGAGAAATCGAGGCTGAAAAAGGTTGGACTTAGTTTTCCAATGTAGACTTGGAAAGCGCAGATTCTCTTTAGTGCGTAATGGCTGCCCTAATGTTCAAAGGACGTTTTCATAGTTTGAAGGAAAAGAATCAGAGATAGACTTACCCAAGAGATCTTTTATTTTTGTGAATGTGGTCTCTCTGTGGTTCAGAGGAGCAATACTTCAAATAAAGAGACCGCAGACGACTGTTTTTTGCGGAGCATCGGAACATACTTTGAGAGTACTCAGTCACTTACCTTACATTGGAAGGGCTCTGGCTAATGTTTTTTTTTGCTGCAAATGGAAGGCGAACAAGACGAAAGAGTCCAGATACATAGCCGCCGTTATCTAGAAAATTTCTACTCAGTACCAATCGACAACCTGTGCCTACTGCAGAATCTTAGCAGTTACCACTGCATTTACCATGTGTCATTTAAGTATCCAGCTTCCCATTTATCGGATAGCGATCCACCCATTTCCCCAAGTTCACCAGACCAAGGAAACGTAGGACACAGACAAAAGAAGATCCAACAAGCGAAAAGAGAGACTGCCGTACACGGGAAGACTTGCCATCCGTTTTATCCACTTGAAGCAATATTGCATGTCAGAAAGATCCAATGTAATAACGAGATTGATTTTTCAAAGACAGGTTGGGATAGCAGCTAGATAAGCGCTTTCAATATGCACTAGCTGATAAACTCACGGATCATCAGAGAGGTTGAGCGTGATGCTGCCCTTGAGTTCGGAACCATAGGTGATGTAGCCAAGGATTGCCGTAACTGTGTAAAGCGCACAGATAAAACCAACTCCCGTTGAAATCACACCAAAAATTCCAAGCATCCGATGAGGATTGCGCATCTGGTTCTCGAGAGGGAGAATCTGAAGTGGAGAAAGATTAGTGTTAGAAAAATAGTTGTGTGAATGAGACTAGTGGTTATCTAGAGCGGTGCTAGCCCCAGGGTGGAGCCAGCCCAGCAGGACCATTTTTTATAAGAAATGCCCGAGCAGTGGAAGCCTAGATAAGGAGTTGCTAGCCCCTTAATCGTCAGCGTAGGCCTGGTAACAGCATGATTCTAGGTCTATGTCGGATATATGGATATTCGGACTATGAGTATCTTAAATGACACCAAGCGCTTAAGCTTTTTATCTAGCCTCGTTTCTTCTCCTCCTCGCTCCTTTTCATAACTGAAATCCACCATTAATGAGAAACAGACTATGATGGATAGCTAGCTGCGCTGTCAGTCGACATGGTTGTATAACTTTGATATCTTTCAAGATCTTTCTCATGACAGAGCTGATCTTATGAAAACTCAACAGGCTGCGCCATATTTTCATTCTTCGTATGTGCCACACAAGGGAGTCGAGCTCGTTGTTGTTAGGTTGTGTATGTCGTAGTTCGCTAATAGCCTCCGACTTCTCCAGTAACTTCTCAATAACCCCCTGGTCGGGCAATATGTCATCACAAGCAATAAGTGTAAAAAGAATCGTAGGATATCGCAGTTCATGGGATCACTCTTTATATCCAGATGGTAACCGCATATAAGCGAGTAAGATACCATCTTTGATCACTTAACTGTCAAGAAAATGCGACCTTCGCTCGTCTCTGATTCGTACCCTGTGGTGGTGCAAAGGATGTGGAAGTACAGGGGTGGCCAAAAAAGAAAAGTCACTTCGACCGAGTCACATATCAGCAAAGTTTTCGCAGCCCAGAGAGACGTGGATACGAGTACCAGGGCGGAAGATACCCAAGATGTTCCTCGATAAGCAGGAGCTGGCTCTCGCCCATCACCTTCATGTACACCAAAATATGAGGTCATCTCCAGTCGCAGCCTGACTGGAGAAGACCTTTGGAATTCATGTCACCTCCAAACAGCTGCGAAACTTCTAGTGTGGAGTCACCCATGGATAGCTACCTGGAGACCAGTACTCTCAATCTGGAAGACCTCCAACATCGAGCAGCTCCGACAACGTCGCTACGGTCTAGGACATCATCTTCACGGCAGTCGCCAAGGCGCGGGTTGATGGTATGGACCGGACGCACCTGGAATGGAAAGACCAATATTTTCTTCGTGGACCCGGGCTGAAGCTGAGCGCTGGCGGTTACATCGACCAACTCAAGAAGAATATCTTCTCCACATGTCGTCGCCCGTACCTTCTTGGAAACTTTGTACTGCTACAGCATTGGGTGCCACCACGTGGAATCGAAGGGCGTTGGAGAAACTCTCGCCTACCTGGAATGGAAGGGGGCTGAGTACCTAAAGAAGATGGAATATCCAAGTAGGTCACCTGACCTGAATCCCCTCAATTACCCGGTTCGGGCGGAGTTCAATAGGGTGGTCTACGGTGGCGGAGAAATCGACTATCTCGCTGATCTCAGGGACCACATCGCGGTCGCGTGCCAGAATCTCTCGATGGCGCTCCTCCAGAAGGCTGTGGCGGAGTGTCATGATAGTATTTAATATGCTCTTTAATATGGTGGTAGAAATGTCCGATCAGAATTTATAAAGTGTAACTTATAGCGCCTCGAAAGTCAATGAAGCAAAGTGACTTTTTTTGGCCCCCCCTGTATATGAAAGGAGTTCTACAGATCTTGAGGTGGAGGGTAATTAACAGACTACGCACCATGTTGGTTGTTACTATCACTAGGACGCATGGCTGGAAATATAGGGAAAGTTCCTCCTATTCCTTAAAATATCTTCTAGCTTTCCAATAATTCCTTCTACGACAAAAACCGAATAAAGCACTAACCACAGCTTGGGCTGTATAAGCATACGTTATACTTCCGGCAGCCATTGCAGCATCTGCAACAGTGGTCGCTCCTGCGAGATCTGATAGTGGTATGTGTTTCGTTAAGGCGAGACGCTGAAAAATGTGAAGCTACGACAGTCCTTTGCAAATTTCACTGGTTTATGCTGACACTGGTGACATGTGCTTCGTGAGAAACTGTTCGTAAACAGTGAAGTGACTAACCACAAGCACGATTGCTAAGGCAATGATCACTAGCACGTTTCCAACAAGAGAAATTATTGACATCAGAAAAACGTTTTGGACACTCGTGAGTAGTATGAAGAATGGCATCATAATAACGAAAACGAGATTGAGTGAAAGCTTGGTTCCGAAGAAGAAGTCGATTATCTAAGCAGAAAAAGCGTTAAACGATAGTTTTCAACATATTACGGGGCCTAGCTTGTGCCATTTAGAGTTCCAGTCAGTAGGTCCAATATGGTAACGGAGCAGTCCATAACACGCACACATGTGCAGGGACCTTGTGGGCGTTGTGTAGCTGGCAAGTGCTACTTCAGTGAGCGACAAAAGGTGTGCATAAGATAGTAGACCACGGATTAGATCCATCTCTCATTCCTCTCTGTCCTAGTCGACAACTGTCTAGATACAGATAGGCAACCCCTGCCGCGCTCACTTATATGCACTTGCACAAGCCCTCTCCCTCTTTTGGGATGTGGACTGCAGGTCAGAGTGAAGGTTAGGACTTCTCACGTAGAGGTCACGGCTCGCATGTCTCGCCTTCGCGGCGCGCGCATTGGAGTTGATTTTACAAGAGCAACATGGTCGTACTGCGATAAAGATCCGGTCTTAATAGTCTGGGAGCGCGAATCTGAATTGGATTGTTTCCAAGCTAGAATATTCAATGTAACGGCAGTATTTTTGAATAGCAGCTAGGCTTTTCGACGGTTGTTGCCTGTATTTCTCAATAGGACCATACTTTTAACGTGTGGTCTGGCCGAGAATCTTAAACCTTACAATATCTTACAATTGAGGCCAAAAGAAGGATTCACCCTGAAAAGAATTTTCGTAGATTGCTGATGTATTCTCTAAATATTATTTCTATGTTAATGGGCGTTGTTTTATACTAGTAGTTGAATATCGGGCCCATTCCTTTCATAGCCTTCACACCTGCAAGTATAAAGCAGACGGTTGGAAATCTCATGAACTATGCAAATGCAAAAAATACATAGCGAAAGCATCGCGGAGAGCACCTCCGCGGCGGCGGCAGGCTGACCTCTCGTGGAGTCCTAACCGTTCCCCATCAGGTCAGAAGCGAAGGTAGCTAGCTCATAGGTTCACTCACCTCTTGATATGTTCTGAGACGAAAATATAGAAAACGCTACAAATACCTAACTGCAGTAGGAATAGGCAAAAGTTCACAGCAAACCTGAAAACAAAGGGTAAACCGAATAAAAGGCGAATGCATGGATCACACCCGACGTCAGCGGACATGAAGATGTTAGTTCTGATGACGATTACCACAGCGTTGAAGATCTACTCTCCCTTTGCTGAAATGGAGTCGCTGAAGTGACAACTTCACGACCGCGTACATCCGATCAATCCAGCTTTGTAACACATGTCTGGCTATTTATAAAAGAGAAAAGATGGACTGCGCATCAATTTTTAATGCTTCGAACGTTGACGTACTTGGCCGGCTTTGCAAGGCATCTCAATCTCGGCGTAGCGGTGGTGAAAGCTTCCTTAGCCATGTTACCATAGTCGAGAGTTTTCCTGCTAATTAACTAATTACTCCATCGCATAGCACAATCTAGGATACAAGAAAAAGCGGGGATTCTTGTGACTTGAACAGGAACTTTCAAATTGAAACCCTTAATAATAACGGGCAGGCCCTGAAGTTTAAGGTTTTGAAGCCTGCGTTTGCAAAGCAACCTCACAATGACGAAGAAGTAATTGGTCACGAGCAATTTTTCCCTTCACTTTTCGTTTCAGAACCATTCGCAACTATTATTTTCTGAATTTTCTCCCCTCAGTATAGATAGGAGCGAGAGCTTTGCAACCGCATGCAGTAGCAACCCAATTACTGCAGAATCATTAACACTGACCTATCGGTCTTCGTGGTGGTCTCGCCAGTTTCGAGTTCCTTCACACTGTGTTGAGTGCACTCTCGTGAATAATGTTGGGCGCCTTTCTCAAAGTGAAAACGAAATTCTTGGAATGAGGCTGGATAAGTCGACTCCGAAACGGCACTATTACCGGTTCATTCGTTGATGAGTCCTGTGTATCCATTGTTCTCGACTCTGGCGTTTTCGCTGATTCGGTTCTTAGAACGTCATCATCAGTTTCATTGGTCAATCACAATATTGAAAATCATACGGAAGGAGCTCAGGATGATATACTGATTGACTTCAGTAGTAAAAACGGAGAGGAACACCTTGGATGCCATCCGAGAGCACCTAGTATGTAAGCCACACCTCAATTCACTGTATTTCCTTTATTATTTATCACGTCCAACAGGCCCTGAGGAGGTGATGACTTTGGCATTCTTCTTGACCATAGATAAATCAAGCAAATTATTGCTGGTTCATCTCAAGGTTGCTCCCTGTTCACAGGGTAATTTTTCAGCACCATTAAAGAAGGACCTGTAACGTCTAGTAGAACCATCTGCAGT